TAAGAGATTGAAAGAATTTTCAACAAATACGATTAGGAAGAATGGAGAATAATGGAATGGAATGGAGAATAATAATGAATGGAATCTTCAACACTTGCATGAAAAAATAGGTGTGGCAGTTGTAAATTTCAGTTTCAGTGCCGTTACTTCCTTTTACGTCCTTCCTAATCGTATTTGTTGAAAATTCTTTCAATCTCTTATCATTACTGATATACGCTCGTGCGTTTGAAAAGTTTTTGCACTGAATTTGTCCTAACAACGAATTTTCCATTATCATCAACATTTTGCCATTTTCCAAATTGAATTCAACTGAATATTTGCTCAATAAACAAGTGGATCAATAAAAAAAATCACCCTGCTGCAGTCGCTTAATTAGATCTCGCATCGACTTTTATAATACTAGGAGTATTGAAGTATCGTTAGCTAACAGTCTTTATCCTTTATTATTAAGCCTGACGTGATTGATTCCAGGCGAAGGCTGGGCGAACTTGCCTTTGTTTCTCGTGATCGGCTTGCTGTTCAATTGAGATCTCGTGAGCCTCTTGCACCTCTGCATTCTTTGGAAAGTGACGAAGCTTGTCAGCCAGTATTCGCTGAAGAGATTGATGTCGAGAAGGACGTGCTATTTTCTCCCAAGGTATATATCACAAATCGACTGTAGTTATTTGGTAGTACTGTAAATTTTTTAACGTTCGGGCGGGCAGGACTAAAGTGAATTTAGTCTTCATCGTTCAATCTGATCTTAGTATTTAGGTCATGAATTTATGGCCAGATGAGGATCCGTTGTGGCAATGCCCCGGATATTTCGTCGAATCCGGTATTACTAGTATTTCTCAAGTTAAAACTGTCACCGTTAGGAGTGCGATCCTATAAGTCGACTCATTTAGAAGAAACACATAGCTACAGTCGAGTTGCCGCAAAATCGTTGTTTTTACTGGATGGTCGATGTAAAGAGTGGGATGCTCCCCCGGAGGAAACTGCGGAGTTGTGGGAAGATTGTGCAAAATCTCAAGCAATCGCTTCACTTTTTACAACCCTTTGTGCTCAAGCGCATACTCACGGTATGTGATATCTTCAATATTTCCTTCTGCTCTAGAAGTTTCTCAATAAATCGTTCTAGGCTTCACCCAATACACCGATGTCACCCGACCATTCACATCTCAGTTGATGCTGTCAAATGGTGTTGACTTTGTCTTTGCTGTCGGGCAGTTGAATACAATAGCGATTAATATCGAGTGTGATGGTGAGATATTTCTATACTCTTCACATATTCATTTAGATTATATTTACGATAGCTCTTAGAAAATGCGTTAGTGAAATTGAGACCTTGGTTTCTTGCTTGTTTCTTGGGTGTTCTGTTGTTTCGATTCATCAAAGAAAAAACATGTGGAAAGGTGTTTCTGATAAGAAACCCAATTTTCGAAGTACTTCATGAAGTTCGAAACCTTGGCTGTGATCCTTGGAAAACAATAAGGGAATCATTCACCATTTCGTCTTGAGGGAACGGATTTCATGGCTTTGGCATCCTACTCCTCATATTCGCAACACTCGCCTGTGGGAAACTATGTTCCCTTGGCGAGCGGTTCCAAATTTTGCTGTCATTTCTTTAATCAATATTCAACTTTGTTTGACAATTTTTTTTGAAAGAATAACATTTTCAGGTTTCGAAAACCCTAAGACAAATGTATGTCATGTAGAATCTCCTCTGCGTTTATACGACGAATACCGTGAAGGAAAATTCTACCACATAACGCCCGAAGGTGAAAAAGAAGGATTGAATTCCAAAGTTCTGCTTAGAATTCTACAAATGCTATTACGGGATTAGTCATTAATAGATAGATTTTAATTATGTGTATGTATATGTCACTGAGGTAGTTGAGATTTTTTTGTACATTACATGTTTTCTTAGTTCAGTCTAGATCACACCTTGTTTGATAGTCCTTTTATTCTGGCAGGATAATATATTATTTTGTTAATTTGTTGATTTTCATTGTTTCGAAATGAAATGAAAGTTTTTGGATTACGAAATGTATGTTTAAAGAACCTCTGCCTAGGTGTACTAATGCTTCTCATCCGTGCATGTCTTTGCATATTTTTGTGGACAGATTGAATGCAGTAAGTTAAAAGTAACTATTCAGTGCTAATCACATCAAGGTTATGTGTTTGGGGGATGCGCTTTCTTCCGAACGCCTTAATTCGGTATTTCCCATTGTTCCTGGTACTTAAAACGATTTTCTTCAACGAATACTTGATTTATTTTCTCAAAATTGGATTGACTTGCGATTGGCCCTGCGACGGTGCGAAGTAGGTTTTTTTTAAATTTTACTTATGAAAAGTAATTCTTTTAAAGAGGAACTCCATGGCATCGGAAAATTTTAAAAAGTATTCGATGATTCGGCAGTTCTTTGACGACATACTGAAAGAACGAATACAGGGAGTGCAAAGAAATTGTAGTTTCAGGTGTTCGTCGGATGCACTCCGTGTATTGTTCATCGCCGACACCCACCTATTAGGTGAAAGGGAGGGTCACTGGTTTGACAAACTTCGAAGGTACTGATCTCCAATGTTCTTCCGATTGTTTTCAAACGTAAGCTGCGAGTTGATCAACCTCCGTGGCTTGGTTTGGTTTTTAGCTAACCATAAGATTAATTTGAAGATGCATATTCGCTTACTCTGTCTTTCCATCGATTTAAATTTCAATTTCGATGTTCGCAGAAATCACTGGCGGTTTAACAGCTCAGACAGCAATTTCAGCTCATCCAAATTAGATGCGAGACCAATGGGCAGCTTGTAAAAGATTGATTTTTAAGTAACTTCGATGTAGCTTTTCCATTTGCCATCCTTCTCTTTTGAAGCTTGGCTTGTGGATTTTGTATATCATGTTGAACGCTTTATGTGTGCTATCTTTTCACTTTAGGGAATGGCAAATGTATCGCGCCTACCAGACAGCGCTTTACTTCCTCTCTCCCGATGCCGTTTTCTTCTTAGGTAACTATGTTCTGCATGCCTTCCTCTAATCTTTACTTTCCTGTATTACTTGTCTTTTGAAATTGACTATTTCAGGTGATCTTATGGATGAGGGACAATGGGGAGATAAGGCCACATTTCAGAGATATGCCGATCGTTTTGATTCTTTGTTTGGTAGCACATCATCTGATGGACCACCCGTTCATGTACTGGCTGGGAATCACGACCTTGGATTTCACTATGCGTTGGTTGACTTTGATTGATTCTGTTTATATTCTTTCGATTATCGAATAAGTCTTACACAAAAGATGAAGCGGCCTTCCCCACAAGTCGTTATTTTGGCATGAACGACGACACAACGTTTTTGGAGGGAAGTCAAGTGCATGAGCTGAGCCTAAGATTGGTTAATCATTGGCCGAATACCCCGACTCTTTTCTATCGTGTTCATTGACAAGACAATAAAGACCACACAAGCATCTTTTCTGAGCCTTCTTTGGTAACGAAAATGTAGGGTCACTCGGGTTATTTGAAAACGTTTTACTTAGTCATGACTGATCCATGAATTACTTGCGAATTGTTTCTCCCCAGAACTCGATTATTTTGTTCTATTTGAGTATATCGCCTTTCCGTGTCGATTGGTTCGAGAAACGGTTCAATCGCAGTATCATTGATACCGTTGTGTTGAAAGGTAAAGTCAGGGATTGTTGTAACAGGTTGCTTTTTTTGTTTGCCACTGTGACCATTGGTGATTCAGGTCAACCTTTTATTCTTGTGACATCAATGGCCTTACATGGCGATGGTTGCCGATTCTGTGAAGAAGCTGTGACAAAGCTGGAAGCATTGTCTTATGAATTGGATTGCGCAAAGCTGGACAATTGTCCAAGGAATGCTCCAAGTCAATTTCAGCCTTACCGCAGACCAATCCTTCTTCAGCATTTCCCTCTTTACAGGTATAGCCATACAAAGCTTCTCAGTTGACCGTGGTATAGAGTGAACCTAAAAATTGGTTACAAAATAAGTTCATCAGTTCAGTTCGCACTCAGTCGTGCTTTTCTCACAGAGCCATAATTATTCAATCTTTACTTACTGTAGATCAGCACTGACTATTCATTCTTTAATTACTTCCGATCAGCCTTTGTTAAGCTTTTGTTCCTAGCAGAACTCTGCCCAGAACCACGCCATTAAGTTGCTGAATGTTTAGGATCAACGACGACGATTGCTTCCGTGACGAAGATTTTGATGAAGATGACCCTAAGCAGAACTCTGCCCAGAACCACGTCATTAAATTACTGAATGTTTAGGATCAACGACGACGATTGCTTTCGTGACGAAGATTTTGATGAAGATGACCCTAACAGAGGTGATATTTATCGTCCTAAATGGGAAGCCTTGTCTGAGGAATCCACAAATCTGATTCTACGAAAGCTTGAACCTCGTGCAGTATTTAATGGTCATACACATAGAGGATGCAAGAAAAGGTTGATTTCAATTCAAGAAACTTATCAAAGTTGGATTTTAGTTTTGCTTTATTTTTCACTATACTACCTATTTACATTTGCATTATGTTCTGTAACTCGGTCTATTTTAAGATGGTCCCGTCCGTTCGGAGTATTCTGGGAATATACGGTCAACTCGTTTTCGTGGCGTAACGGGAATCGCCCAACCTTTCTGATGGCGACTATAACTAAGGATGATGTAAGTTCTACCTACTTCTAGATTTTGTTTTTTTTTTCCCAAAGAAATGTATGCAGGTATTGGTTGGAACATGTCATCTACCAAACGAATCAACAGTAATAAATATATACTGTATTATGGCAATAATAACAGTTATATGGATATCACGATCTCTACTAGTGGCACGATATCCTGGCGTTTTACGACGTTACAGATCTCATTCTGGTTTCAACAAACTCATCAAATCTGGATAACTTTGCGGGTTACTGAATTTTACTAGTTTGTAATTGAATCTAGTCAAATAATTGTATGAATTTTGGGCTTCGTAAACCGCTAGCAGTCCACTTGTAGAACTAACTTTACTTGAATGCTCACTGTTCCCTTCATTCTTGAATGATCCTGACTTTTATCTTTTTTTTTTTTTTGAAAAGAAAGAATGAGTTCTGTGCGTTCAACGATTGATCCCGCCGAGAAATGTGAGGCACTTGATTGACATTTGATTTCGATCTCTTCCGTTCAAAATTTGGATAGGTATTTGATGTAAAAGATAGCTTTCAGAAGCATGATATTTTCTTTCTCCCAACCGTGACTTTGTATGACTGAAAAAAGTAGTAGTAGACATGGAATAAAGCTCAATCTCAACTGATTAGGAAAGACTGGCTCCTTTTGTTGCGAACAGTTGTCTCCAAACTATGACTTTTGGTTCAAAATAAAAGGATTCAGCGGCATAATCTCGAGAAATTGCGATCAAAAAAGCGTGGAACGACCCAGTGATCAAGAAAATTCGAGCTACTTGTCAACCAGCACCCCACACGCTGGCATGGTCTTGAAAATTCAAAGGTATAATTCACGATAAGAATGGTTTCTGATATCCCTAGGTTGAATCTACAGCTCGTCCTTATACCATATATGGCGATGTCAGATCGGAATACGTACCAGCTAAGGCGTTATAAGGACTTAAAAATTGCATCGGCTGTATGCCACACCCCAAAGCGGACGAGTTTTAACGGCTTTATAGAGGCTGGGCTGCACTATTCACATGGGACACCTATGTTGGACATTCAAGTAAATTTTAACAATTAATCGTGACCCATGGCGGAAGTGCAAAACAGTTTCAAACATTTTTGGCTTAATGTAGTCAGCATTTTGCGCTCCCCATCCTTTCATGACACACCCGCCACAGTAATCTCGTGCGGCTTCTATTTTTAATACTTTTGGAAAGTAGTTTTTTGCGAGTCGGCGGATTTTCTAGCTTTCTTCGCCTTAGATGCTCTATTCTCCATCAACGCTTACACTTTTTACCCTAAAAAGGATGTTCCGTAGTTAACGTGAACTGAGCCTTCAACGTGAAAATGGTTCTGTTAAAGGGGTAGTATAAATATTAGGTTGATGCATAATTATTGCGGATTTTTTCGCGGC